ACGGGTTGTCTTTTTAATTGCGTTCTCTATTAGCTTATATCTTCTGTCTCTCGTAAAGTGCCTTCTGATTTTAACATTCTCGGTATCTTTAACCCTCTTGATAAGTTGTGGAAATGCACAGCACTTCGCTAACCTCAATTTTATGTTGTTGCCCTTTTCTTGTTTGTAATTGAGCGAAAATACTTATTCGTTATACTTCTGTTTCTGTTTTGTTCCACCTTTTTCCCGACCGAGTGATATCGCGTCATGAAACTTAGAAAGCCAGTTGCTAAGTTTTAGTCTTTAACGTTTGTTTATTTAAAGTCTGAAAATAGCCAAAGATATTTTATTGGCAACTCATTCATAGTATGAAATGATTGGCATGAGGGACAATTCCCTAAAACACTGATTGGTGCAGGAATACAGCAATGCTGTGATCTGATTAGTGCGAGAGACACACTCTAAAGAACAATCTGATTGGTGCGAGAGACATACTTTAGTAAGCAATCTGATTCGCGCGAGCAATATACCACTCTGTGGGAAAAAAATCTTAAAGAAGATGGCAGCTGGGAAGAAGTCTCTGAATCCAGTTGATCATATGAATGCAACCCAAACCAATTAAAGGCCAAAGGCGACGGAAGAGAAAATCTGGGTTGAGTTAGCAAAATGGCGGCTGAGTGCAACCCAAACCAATTAAAGGCCAAAAGCGACGGAAGAGAAAATCTGGGTTGAGTTAACAAAATGGCGGCTGAGGCGATGTATAATTGAAACCGACTTCAAGTAAATCTCTAAAGCTAAATAATACTACTGCGAGGAGAATCTCTAAAGAGCAGTGATAGAAGAAAAATGACACTTTTCAGCGGGAATTATGTTCACGTGACAAGTCACAGCAATGTTAATGTTCCACGATAAACCGTGATCTAAGACCCCCATCCTCGAATTAGAAAAGATAAGGCAATTATAAGAGTTCGAGAACGAAAGGCACCAGTACGCTGCCATTTAAAAAGTGTTGCGAGGCGTTTCTATGTTACTGCACTAAGAGCCCTTGCGCGCAACGGTGACTCGTCAATTCTAGAGGGACTGATGCCGGCAAATCGATTCTAAATGAACTAGCGTGACCTGTACGTCACGCTATCCTTATCAAAAACTGTCGTATAGCACAAATCCTTCCTTCAGTGACACCAGGGGCATGAGCTCTTCATACATTTATACAAACAGTAATGTACATCGTGAGTTTTTGTGGAAATATACTGACAAAACCAAATTGGCTTTGAGAGATATCGCCGATAAAATGCGCCGTTCAAAATAAGAGGTTGGTGTATGACAAGCGGAAAAGCAGACCACGAAAACAAACAAACAAGAAACGATCATAACAAATTGTCTGAACCGCTCTCATGCCGTTTTTTCTCGTTCTGATGAAATGCAAATATTCAACTAACTTTGCATTAAAATGCTCGTGTCTTGAAACTCTGTTTTTATTCAAAAGAAACTTTCAGGAAAAGAAGAGGAAGCCAAGATGTTTCGATTATTTCGTGCACTAAGCTTCGTTTTTATCCTGGGTACCTTTGCAGTCTCAAAGAACCAATTTGTAAGTGGGAATTTTTTGTTAGTGAATACGAAGGCATATCGTCCTTTGTGGATGAACACATGTTATTAAATATTCATGCTGAACCCGGCAAGTTTATTGCTTAAACTCGTGCGCTACACAGTTTAGAGTCGTACCACGGTATTCGAGATCTCCCTTTTTTCAGGGCTCGAAGAATGGAACACAGCAAATTCAGTGTGGAAAGTCTGTTTTGAAGGACAGTTGTTCCTGCCGCGACGGTATGAACGTATCACAACTTGCTGAGTTTGATATTGTGCCCAAGTGGAATTTGCTATTTCTTGTTATTTCATATTTTTCTTTTACATTAACGATCTTTTTTCACCCTTGTTTTTTTCAGGTAGAGACGGCAGAGATGGCCAAAACGGTATGGAATAACCGAGAAAAATGTTGGATAGTTAAGTCGCACTTTAAAGGTTTTTTTGTAATAAACACTGAATCACTTAAACAGCCATAACTGGGTGAGAGCGTTCTACCAGCAATGCATAGTCAAGACTGAGAGTGCGCTTGTAAACGGCTAGATATCTCCAAAAGGATAGTTGGAATGCTAAAATGTTTCTCGCAAATATCTTATGCTTCATGAAAGTTACTCATAACAAATATTGTCTTGTCTTTGATCGAAGGAAAAGTAGGCCGCGATGGACGCGACGGGAAAATGGGAGCAAAGGTTGGTGTAAAGATATGACCAAAGAAATTAATGACAAAAACCACAACCCAAAACGAAAAAAAGAGAAAAAAAAGATGAAGAGAATGTTCTATTTCTACAGATCAAAAGCTACAGTAAGAAAAGTGTCTAAACTTCAATTTTCTTAAAGCGTCACCTAGTACATGTATAGCGTTTTAAATATACCTTTTTTTTATAATATATTTTGGGGTGAAAAAGGCCAACAAGGTCTCTGTAAAGAAAGTGTAGGAAAAACGCTGTCAAGTTGCGTGACTCACTTGATTTTTGTCTCCAAAGCTAATAATTTTTTGTATCATTGATTAGTAATTATCGTCTCAGTCGCAAGTTTTAACGAAAACTTTCCTCTTCTCAGGGAAATAAAGGACAACGAGGACCGAAGGGAAACGACGGAATGAACGGCTCAAAGGTTGGTGTTTAAATTTCTTACAAACTTAACTTCAAAACCACAAAAGGGCAAAATAATAAAACTCATTCGTAGAAGCAACAAGAAGTATGATTGTGATGTAATATTTCTTGTTCAATACTTAGAGAGCCAAAGGGGAGCAGGGCTTTCATGGGAAAGATGGTATAAACGGAAAAAACGACAGTCGATGATTTTTCCTAAGAAACCTTAGTACGAGTTCTCTCTCTTTTTTTTTTTTTTTTTTAAATAACACTCAAAGTTAACTTATCTGCCAAACGACAAAAAAGCGTAAAAAAAATTTTTAAAAAATTGAGAAAGAAGGAAAAAAGCAGTTCCTTAGTTGGGGGAACTCATTAGGCGTTCCACAAAAAAAAAACCAACTGAAAAATGGCAAAAGAAAAAAACAGTCCTCTGGTTAAAGGTTTAGCTATAAGATTTGGTAAACCGTGGCCATTCAAAAGTATTGTCATTACTTAGTTGCAAGTAAAATTCTGTGCCTACTGTCGCACCACTACCAAAGAGTTTTGTGGCCATCGCTCAAATATCTGCTAAATCGATTTCTACAGTGTAGCAATTTTTTTTTTATTCATGAATTGAACACTTTGAGTTTCTATTTTTTCAGGGTCAAAAAGGTGAAACCGGTCCAGCTGGTAAATCACCACAAGGTGCCATCAAGTTTGGTGACACCGCTGAGAAATGTACTCTGCGAACTGCTGGCACCGTTCGTTACAATGCTTCCCAAAATGCTTTGCAGCTCTGCGATGGAAGCGCTTGGTT